TTTTTTTGCATTGTTGATTTGTTTTTCACCAAAGCAGCTAATAAAGCACAATGGAATACAATTTTGCCTCTTTCTTGTAAGATTTTATAATAGAATGAAACATGCCAGTTATAAATAAAGACAATAAATTCAAAGAATTATGAAACACTTATTTTATTTCTATTGGATCTGAAAATGTTGTGTAATACCACAACCTGAAACAACAAATAGATTGCGTTGGTCTGTACAGGAGATAAAGAAAAAATGTAACAACAGCTATGAAATGGAATAGTCCAAATCACCAAAGTAAACTGGACCTGGGCTTGATGCAGGCATCTGAAGTTACTAAACATGTTGTGAGTGTATGCACTCACACTTAGGACCATATAATAATAAATATGTGCGTGATGAAAGTTGGGCAGCACGCTAATGTCCTTAGTCCACTCTGTATGCTCGTATGGGTCTAACCCTTTCACTCCTTTGATTTTTACCTCGTTTTTCGCCTTTTTGTCAAGTCTGTCTTTGACCTGTCGTGTTCTCCTTTGTTTTGTACATAACTGTTTTTGTCTTCGAATTTGAGTCTTCGAATTTGCGCAGACTTCGCTGCGTTGATGTAATGTAATTGGCCTACAAATGCAGCCTCTGAAGGATCTTACAAAGCTTCAAACCACATCGACTATTAAATTAGTCATAGACGATTTTAATAGTCAATGTAATTGTGACTAGTCAACATAATTGTGACTAGTCAACATAATTGTGACTAGTCGACTAATCGTGGCAGCCCTAGTATTGATATGCTGCAGAAGCATGGGCTTCAGGTTGTTTGGATATGATATTATAACCCTGCCCACAATGATGAACTGCAATAATTGATTCTTTTCTCCTATCCTGTTAACGCTCCAGACCTGCAAAATGCCAAAACATCTGCTTTTATGGAGGAACTCACACTTTCTAATGATCAGTTAATTAAGTGTCTTTAATTATCACTCTATAAATTTACAGGTAATTATTTAAATTGTATTTGTTTTTACTTATACATGTTTAGTTTACAATAATGAAAAATAAATGCAAAATCATTAGAATAGCATTTT